GTTTTTGTCTCTAACCTTCTAATTCTTTTGTTTCTTTCTATTTTGCTTTTAGTTTTGTATTTGTTATTAATTTGCATAACAGTTTTACTAATATGTCAGTTTATTTGTTTTTTATTTTAGGCAATATTTTATCTTTTTATAACTAACTTTTTTATTTGTATTACTTTTTTACTTATTGTTTCTTTCTTTACAAAACTATTAGTTTTGTTATTTTACTTGTTCTTGCTATAATTTTTTACTTTAATTAACTTTATCTATATATTTTTTGTATTAATAAGATTTATAATTTTTATTATCTATATTGTATTTTTTTTCTATCTATTTGTTTAAACTTCTATTAATGTTTCTTATTGCAATATTACTGTTTGTATATATTTCTATTTGTCTTTTTTTGATATTGTTAAAATTGCTGTCTATATTGCTACTAATTTTGTTATTATTAATATTATTAATTTTTTTAATTCTAATAATATTTCTTTTTTTAGCTATTCTTGTATTTTATTTGTTTGAATCTATTCTATATCTATGTTTTTGGCTAGTGTTTTTTTTTAGTCTTTAAATTTATTGCACTATCTATATATATAATATATTTGTTTTTATTTCTTGTTAAATTTCTTTTTAGAGTTTTTCTATTTTTTGATTAATATTCTTATTTAGTTTTTGTCACTTAATTATTTTTATTTCTAACTCTTTTATTATTATGAGTTTTTTGATTTTTTATTTATTATTTTTTAACTTCTTTGCTCTATTTTTTCAGTTAATTGGTCTATAGTTAACTTGATTTTGCTATTACTTTTCTCTATTAATGTATTAGAAATTATCTTGATTTTGTTATTTATTTTTATTTATTGTTGGCAGCTATTTTATATTTGTTTTTTTCTTCTGTACATCTATCATATCAGCTAATTTCTGTTGTTAGTTCATTCTCTTTGCTTTGCATTTGCCAATGTTCTACTAATATCTTTTTTTTTTCTTTACTATCTTTTTTAGCTGTCTATAGTTTTGTACATTATATATTATTTATTTTTTTCTTCTTTTATCTTCTGATATATACTTTTACTCTATTTTTATTACTTAAGTATTATGTCTATTTGTTTTAAAATGTCTTTTGACTTTTCTATTTACTGACTTTTTAAGCATTTTTGACTCTATTTCTTTAAACTATTCTACTTTTTTGCTCTTGTTTGACTAATCTTGATAGTTTTTAAATTGCTGCTATATAATTAGCCTTTCACTTTTTGTGTTGAATAGCTATATTAAGCCTGTTTTATTTATTTCAGTTCTATTTCTTTTTCACAAATATGTTTTTATAAATTTTTATATTCTGATACTATATTCAAATGTTCTTTATAAGTTACTTTTTATTTTTATATTTATTTCTAGTTTTTTTTTGTTTTTATTACTATTAAATAATATATTTTGTTTTTTTAATACACTTTGTTAACTGTTATTTTCTTTAGTCTTTGTATATTTTTTATCAAGTTTGCTCTCTAACAGTCTTGTATTATTCTTGGCTTTGTTGACTGTTTTAGACTGTCTTGTCTGTTTAATCTTATTAGTATACCACCTATCTGTTTTATTACTAACTCTTATTGTAATGTTTTATATTTACCAAGACCTTTATATTCTACTATGCAATTTCCTAATATTTTTTACAAATTGCTTTTTTGCTTTACTAAATATATTACTAGTTGATGTATTTTATATATTTCTTTTTCTGACATCTTGGTTAACTGAAACATATAACTTAGCTTTGAAATTATTACTATATTATTTATATATATGATCTGACTCATTATTTTCTTTTTGTATTTTAGATTTTTTATTATTTGACTTATTATGTTTTTTTGCTTTTCTTTTTACTAATATTTCTTACATTCTGTTATTTAACTATATTCCTAATAAATGAACTATTTTGTTTTTTAGTTTTTTTATTATTTTACTTTTTTCAAAAACTATTTCTTTTTCTTCTTTTTTAATATTTGTATTTATTACTAGTAATTTTGATTTTAATCTATTTTTCTTTATATTATTTATTTTAAAAAACTTCTTAATTATTTATAGAATCTCTAATAGCTATTCTTTGCTATTTGCAATTCATATTGTATTATTTGTATATGCAATTGTTGCTTGACAGTATCTTGTAATATTATTATACTGTATTTTTTTTTTAATTTGTTATTTAACTATATATTTTAAACTTTTATTTTATTTTTTTTTAAATATTAAGGTGAGTACTTATAATTCAGGATTTTATTGATAGTATATTTGGTTGCATTACAACTACAAGAGGCAATTATAGAAAGAATATACAACTAACTACTTATACAATTTTAATCATTATCTAATTTAAATAGTCCACTTGAAGGTTTTATACTAGCTGCCATATCTAAAACCTGTTTGTAGGTTTTTTATTTAACCACTCTAGTTTCTGTATTTATCTACCTATCTCTGCCTACTAATAATTTTGACTAATGCCAATGAAAATATGTCATGACCACTAAGTCTTTAAAGCAGTTCTTTGGAACCTTTGATCTTGTACTAAATCTTTCAAAATTTTTTGTATCCCATTCTTACAGCTGATTTAGTATTATTATAACTAAGACCAATACTGACAGTCAGAATATATCATTAAACTATTATGCCCTTGTAAAGTTTATCTTAACCCTGGTACTAACTTTACAACATATTCTTATTACTTTAATATTCAATTCAAGTTCTACCAAGCTGCCATTTCAGATAATTCAGAAAGGTAAATCAAAACCATATACCTCTAATTTACATATTTGTTGACATATACTCTTTTTTTCTAAAATTTAGAAATTCTGATGGCCTAGTTGGTTCATCTAGTCCTCTTTAAAGACTAATACATTTGCTCAGTTTCATAAGTTCTAGCTTCATTTTATAAGTCTAGTCTTTATAATAATATTGTTAAAAGTTCAAGTTATCTCTTTACTCAAGTCTTTCAAGTAGGCTTCCATCTTTCTACCTAGTTCTTGTGATTTATATAGTCTAAAAACTTATCTTGAGTTCATACTGCTCAGTACCAATTTGTGTTCCTTCATACAATGTTGAATGAGTGTTTAGACCTTCTAGTTATGCTGGTATGACATAGTTTACAGGTATCTTATCCCAACCAATCACAGAAGACAGTTAATCATAACATAAAAAGAATTGCAAAATTTTGCCATCACTGGGATTTAAACTCTAGACCTGTCATTTGGGGGTTGACAACTCTAAACTTTTATCTTTTTATACTCTTTCTAATAATAAATAATAACAGATGCCATATTAATGATAATATTACTTTACCTTTGTCTATTCCATCTTTTGTCATTATTTCATCTATTAAATTATAATCTGTAATTATTCTCAATTGTCTTTTATGAAAAAGATTTAAAATATATTTTATCATTTTTCTAAGTATCTTGACTTTTTGTAATGCTAATTCAAGACTTTTAAATTAGTTCATTACTACAGATTTTATTTATAAATTTATTTGCAATTAAATTTTCTTATAACAAACTTTTTATAATAAACCTTGAATACAATAAATTTTATATTTAGTATAGAAAGTATAATGAGCATTAGAAACAACTATAAATTTACATAATAATTATATAACAATATATTACTCAATAAACAGACAGGCAAGATTGCCACTTTAATACAAAAAAAATAAAATTTGCATAATAATTTTTTTTGAAGACATCAGTTTATTATAAATAATTTACAAAATCAATATCATTTATACAGTTTTAATTATTGATTCACTATTGAAGTTATAAAAGCTTAGTCTTTGCAATGTGCTTAAATTACTTGTTTATAAACATTGTTCTTAATAAAAAAAGAAAACTGTAAAAAACTCTTGCCTTTACATAAACAAAGATCAAGGAAAAATTCTGGATCAGAAATCACCTCAATTGTTGGTTACGTTAAACTTTTAGAAAATCTTAATTATATATTTTTGACATATATAATTGGTCAAACCCGATGATAGATTTTCCCTAGATAGTGTTCTGAGAACAAACTAACAGGAGGAAACATTGATGTTACACGATTGATTTTACACACAGTGTGGCAAAAATACCATTTCTGATGGATCATCAGTACTGTTCCTGATGGGGTTAAAAAAAAAATCGATTTATATACTGTTTCTGATAGGGTAAAAAAAAAATCGATTTACATACCATTTCTGATAGGACCCTAAAAATAAGGTCCAGTAAACATAACTCAGATTGTATAAGATCTAATTATATTTATGACTTAGATAAATTAATAATTTGCCAATAGGTATTTTCTAATCAATATGCAATTCAAGCAAAATATAAATACGTATCATAATCTTGTTAAGTTCCATGAATAACCATCTTTACAGCTAAATGCAATTATGATCTGAATATAGATGTTTACAGAATTATTTGACTACTTAGTTAGCTATTATGTTAATTTTCCTTAACTACCCTATCACTCTTCCTAGAGAAAATACATTATCATAGATGTTAGTACTGTCTAGGCCACACCGGCTTATTCGCAATTATAACATTGTAGATATAAATTATTGCTTGACCAAACTATATAATTACAAATACACATTTAATAATCTTTTTATATTGATGGATTGTCTAGGGTACGGACAGAAAGATGCAAATCAGCTCATTAGCTCAATTAATTCATTGGTTTTTATTATACTAAATATACAAGCTGATTGAGCCGTTTTGCATCTAGGCACAGGGTAAATTAATTATATCATCATTAATGTGGAGTATAATTTAAGTTATGCAAAGTATAATTTAAATGAAACATTATGTACATACGTAAGTACAAACATATTAGTCAGATACATTGTTTACTTAATTTGTACAATTTGTAGAATTTTTTAAAAAAATAAATAAATAAATAGAATTTGATCAAATAAAGATTTGCTCTTTCGTTCTGGTGTAGTAGCTGAATAAAAATTGTGTGGTTATTGCTTTTGCTCGACAGTAAAGATATAATAAATGAATGCATTAAGTTCTCTTTCCCAATATTGTGTTAATGATAATGGGTGTATTAATTTACCTTTCAGCCATGCAGTTGAAACATATATTAACTCTTTGCTGCTATTAACCAACTGCAAGCTTAAAAAACAAAGCAGACTTTATGTAAATGAGAATATCAAGACAGGTTTAATTACTCTAAAACGTACTGAAGGGGCTATTGACTATCTCTCTTAGAAGACAGTTTTAGGACAAAATAAATCAACAAATAGGTTGGATGATATACTTGAACTTACGGAGAAGGGCTGTGAACGAGTAACTAAAATTAAGCAAAATGTAGCTTTAGACTTAACAGTATGAAGATAGGTTTTATTTTGTGATGGTAACAATAATTGTCAAAGATCCTGTGATAGAATTGGAGAATGTAAATGAGAATGCCCAAATTTTTTTTTAAAATAATATAAAAAATGAATTTAATACACACAAATGTGCAGTTCGAATCATTACTAAAGTTATGCTATCTGATGTTGAAGAACTCCTGTCAGTATAATTATTTGTTGAAGGCACACATAGACCACTATACATTCCTGTGGCATTACAACCAAAAGTGGCGAGAATAAATCTTAGTCTCCAATCCCATGACCATGCAATTGCAGCACATCATGCATACCGCAGTACTGGAGCAGAAATTGCACTAAAATTATTAGCACCATATAATAATATGAGTGCAACTCATCTTAAATATGTGTGTGAAACTGATAAAAGTATATGTACAGAACAACAGTTAAAATAATTAATTGAGAGAGATGATACCCAATTACGTAAAAATGCAGGCCCATGGACAATCTTAGATCAATTGGTTACTACTAAACTAAAAAATCAAGGAAAGGTACTTTACTATCATCGGCATAATACCTCTGTTTCAGAAAACTGACCTGAATATTACTACCAATTGACACTAAGTAATGAGTTGTGGCTTCAGCAAGGTTGAGATTGTGGATTTTTTTGTTTTGAAATAGATGGAAAATATGATCTAAATAATGAAAAAGCCCCTGTACTCTCTATGGTTATTAAGGATGAAGCTAGATATGGATCATCATTAGCATTTGGTCTTAGTGAAAAAGAAAATCATCATACAATATAAATAGCAGTGCAGGCAGTGCAAGTCAATATTCCATGCAATGATCCTAATTGTATGCACCATTATCAGTATGTTGACTTGAAGAATAGAAAGGGTTTCCATCACCAGCATGAATGTGCTTCTTACTGGCATCCCTTAGCTATGATGGACAAGCATCGGCCCACCAAACTTGCACTACAAGGTCTCATTTATGGAACTATTCTTTGTTGATTCCATATTATGGCAACTTTAGGTGAACATTTGCAAACATGGAAAGTAGACTGGTACCTACGATATCCAATAGCGTTGGCTTTTAGAATTGTAGGATGATGTAGATCAGATGAAGAAGTTATCATAATAGGAAAAGAATATAAAAATTTTATTCATTCTTTGTTATTAGATAATAATACAAAAGATCTTTTGGTATCCGATTTAGAAATGAACTGAATTTGTGATGAATGGAGACAATGTTTCATTGATGGTAGATGTGTGCCACAAATATATGATCCAGCCAATGCAAAGCTGATGACAACTAATAATCTTACAGAGCGAATGCATAAAACAGTGGAAGCACGACGTAGTGGAACACAAACAGTCATTTCTTTTATTGAACGTTTGTATGGTATTAAAATTTTCAGAGATTCATTAATTCAAAATGAACTTGGTGAAACCTCATTTAATGCAGGTTTAGCAACATATTGGAATATGCGCACAATAGAACATAAACAATCTCTACCAAAAAAACCTATTGATATCAAATGTTGAATTAATCAGAGGCGTCTTTATGTTCTGCTTAGTCTAGTTATGCCAATAATTGGATATGAAAATTATATGTTCATTGAAAAACGGTGTAAGAAGTTTCATTCACTATACAATCATTATTCTATTACTATGTCAATAGAAATAACAGAAAAAATTGATGCAATGATTAATAAGTTAGTAAACCGAGATAATATTAATAAACTAGCTAATTATTATCTTGTCAATATAATATCTGGAGAATGCACATGTTATGATTATATTTGGAATGGACCCTACCATGATGTCTGTAAACATGTGCATGCTACAAGGTTATATATAGAATTATTACATGGAAGGTTACAAGTACAAGATGTTAAACAAAGTCTAGTAAAGTTTTTTAAAGATAAGGAGCATGCAATTGCTTTAGAAAAAAAGAATCATATTATTTATAATGGAACTATTGATGAAGCTTATCAAGAAATATTGCGGCTCTTTAATTATGTTGGAAATGATATCTTTTTTTCTGCTGATCAAAAAATAGCAGCACAGGATCCATTCCGTCCAATAAGCAATATGCAAATTCCCATGACAGTTGGATCGCCAAAAAATTATAAATCAAAGTATCAAAAGCCTAGCTGATTATTTAACAATAAGTTGGATAATTTTCAAGAATCAGTCAGTTCACAAAGTATTGATAATTCAACAACTAGCGATCAGGTCAATTCTGTACAAAATTATAATAATAGTATGCATGATAATACTTTAGAAATTGCTGCTAATATGCCTCACTCCATATGCTGATGTAATACTACAAGGATTCAGAATAAATGTCATACTCCTACTAAAGCTGTAAGTTTATTAATAATCATTTAATTATTAATATATCTCTTATCAATCTTAATCTTTTTGCCTTATTTAGCCATAAGCACCGGGTGATGAAAAAGAAAATGATTCAACACTGGCTATTAAAAGGTCACTTGAAGAGCTATTTCTCGAAAAAAAATGTTTCTGGAATCCCAAAGAATTTACAAACATAGTGGTAACAAAGAAGTTATGTTTGGATGATGATCCTACAGAAAATGGAGTAAAACTGTATAAGTGGATTAGTAATCGAAAAATTCATGCAAAGGGTGCAAAAAATGCTAGCATCTAGTCTATAAGTGTGACTATAAAATAGTTAAAAATGATGCTGTTTGAGAGCAAAAATATCTTGCCTATTTAGATTTATATAATAGATTCTAATTTTGTAAAAATTGTGATCTAATGCTAAAACAAGTTTTTATAAAATTATAAATCTGAAAATAAGTTTATCGAAAAATAAGAATTAAGTTCTAAATTAGCTTGCAGGCCAAATCAAATAAAATCCAATTAGTGTTTTATAAAATCTAATCATCCAAAAATATAAAAAAATATGTCAGAATTAACTTTAGATTGATTCAGTATTCATTAACTACTTAAAATAGATTTCAAATTTAGTAAAATTCTATTTCGATATATGTACATTAAAGGTAATAATTGGTCTGGAATCGATATATATCAAATAAGGATCACACTAATCTAACACTAATCACAATATAACTTCTAATAATGGAAGACTACAATTGAAGTTTGAATAGATTTTAACCCAAGTAATCAGAGTTCGTAGAATAAAGCTCTAGATTGCGTCACAAGCTCTAATTTGAAGTTACAGGATTTGGTTACTGATTCTTCATATAAATCTACATTCCATGGAGAATTAGTAGAGAGAAGTACTGAATTTAGGATATTAAACACTAGTCGGGCTAGTACTTGTTGAAAGTGAAAGATAGAGCTTCTATACTTTCACAATTAATAAATACGTTATGAATACCGCTATATCTATTATTGATATAATTTTATAATTACATACTAAATTCACTATGTTTAATAACGATAATAAATATATTTGGCGGATCTGTTAGATTCAATCCAAGCCATCGTCAATAACCAGGCGGTATATATGCACATATATATACATAGTACATATATACGTACATCTTCGTTCTCATTCACCTTTGATATTTATTATTTCATATGTGACTTTATTAATAATATTCTTTTTTCGAAGCCTTAGTTCAAACTTCTATTTTCTTAAATATTAAATATTTCAAATTTCTACACATACAAATTAAAAGTCACAATTTATCGTATTAACACAAAATACTAACTATATAACTATAACGCTAATTAATTTTAATATCATATTAATTTACCAAACTGTAATTATTTATTAAGCTTTTCGCTATTTAAACCAAACCTTTTACAATCCGGGTTATGTTTACTGGACCTTATTTTTAGGGTCCTATCAGAAACGGTATGTAAATCGATTTTTTTTTTACCCTATCAGAAACAGTATGTAAATCGATTTTTTTTTTAACCCCATCAGGAACAGTACCGACGATCCATCAGAAATGGTATTTTTGCCACAGTGTGAAACACATAAAAAAATTTTTTTACAATACTTGAACAATCTTGATCAGTCAGCTAGTAGATGTTATGATTATAATCCAACACCATTTTTATTATAGTAAAAATGGTGTTGGATTATAATCATAACATCTACTAGCTGACTGATCAAGATTGTTCAAGTATTGTAAAAAAATTTTTTTATGTGTTTCACACCGTGTGCAAAATCAATCGTGTAACATCAACGTTTCCTCCTGTTGAACAAACTGGGCATATAATATAATTGAAAGCCCGACGACAGGTTTTCTTTGGCTGCACTCAAATAAATAAGCTTTTTATGTGTTTTTAAATTTCTAAAATTTGCAGTATTCCGATCAATTGTTCCGTACAAGCATAATCAAGATAAATTGTTTGTTTATATTTATAAAGCAATTCACCTATTTATTTAATAGTTTATATGAAATTTCATAGTAGTCAAGTATATCTGAATTATTGGGATAAATTTCCAATAATTTATTGAAATCAGCGAGTGATTCTTCATACTTTCCCAGTAATCTATATACAATTCCACGAGTTTTGAGTGCGAGTGCATTACTTGGACTAACTTTCAATACCTTGTTTAGATCAATAAGTGATTCCTTATATTGACCTAACATTTCATAAACGACTCCACGTATGCTAAGTATTTCTGCGTTATTTGGTTCAAATTCCAATGCTTTATTAAGATCTACGATTGACTCTTCATATCGATATAGCTTTTTATAGGCAATTGCACGATTTACAAGCGCAAGAGTATTACTTGGAACGATTTCCAATACTTTGCATAAATCTTCGAGTGATTCTTTATATCGGTTTGAATGTAAATAAGTAATTCCTCGCTCTAAAAACACATTTACATTCTTTAAATCTGTAAATGACTTTCCATTTTGATCTAACATTGTATAAGTAATTCCCCGGTATCCGAGTGAACTTTCATCGACTTCCAATGATTTATTGAAATCTACGATTGATTCTTCATATTTATTTAATTCTCTAAGTACAATTCCACGAACTATGAGCGCGAATGTATTATTTTGATTAATTTCCAATGCTTCATTCAGATCTGCGAGTGATTCTTCAATTTGTTCTAGCTTCATATAGACAGTTCCCCGGTTACTAAGCGTGTCTACATTATTTGGATCAATTTCTAATGATCTATTCAAATTTACAAGTGATTCTTCATATAAATTCAACAGCATATAAACTACTCCACGGTTATTAAGTGTATCCGCGTTATTTGGATCAATTTCTAATGATTTATTCAAATCAATAAGTGATTCCTCATATCGTCCCAGAATCCTATAAACAACACCGCGATCATTAAGCGCAATTCCATTGTTTGGATCCATTTCTAACAATCTGTTCAAATCTTCAAGAGAATCATCATAGTGTTTCATACCAAAATGTGTTGCTGCGCTTATCAAATATGGTAACAAACTTCCGATCTCTAATTTATTTAATTCATTGTCAATAAATAATTTATGCAATTCTTGTCAGAAGTAGGATAATAATTACCACTTTTGAGATTTTTATGTCCTGACTCAAAAGGAAAAACTGAAACATGGGGTGTAAAATCTAATAAAACTATATTTATAAGCAATAGGATTCGTGACAAATATTCTTAATGTAAATATATAAATACGTATTAAGTATTTTACCGTAATAATCATCAAGTTGCAAGCTGTTTGCTGAAGCTTTAGAAGTCATGCCTAATAAGAATCTTTAAGTTAGATACCAATTTTAGACTTTAATAAGGCATCAAAAAATACCTACTTATTTCTGCAAGGGGTAAAATAAGTAAATCACCACTTTGTATATTCTTGCTCGTGTCTAGATTATACGTATAATAAATTTTTGAGTAATTCTAATGACTAGTATATATTGGTTAAGTATTATATATCTTTCTACGTACAGTAAACCTCTATAAGTACATGCATGTGCGCTTGAAAAACAATAAAAAAGTGCATTTATGAAGATTATGTATATATTCTGGCTGAACAAGTATGCATTTAGAGAAGGTGTGCACTTTTATAAGATGTACTTATGGAGGTTTTATAGTATTTTATGTCTGTAAATATGTATGAAATAATAATTTGTGATAATATCGTACAGCGTGGACCATAGTACCCCAGATTCGATATATTCCACGGACAAAATCCAAGTCAGTACCCAGTATTATACTTGGCAATTTTTTTCTTATAAAAATTTTTAAAATCAACTGATATAGCGTAGTTGTTCCCTATAATTATATCCGGGTATTTTACATTCCACCATATAATTTTTTTGAGGAGTACTTTGATATGGGATGGCGCTGTACGGTAAGTGAAGAGTTGAACATAAAATTACCAATATTATTTTTATGCATGATTTCATTAATGTCATCATCTATGAATAAAAATTTTAGGTTATTTGTATACAGTACTAGATATTTCGATATAAAAACCTCAAATAATTTTTACCTAAGCTTAGCTCGTCTTTAAAATTAAAATTTACGCTTTTAAAGTTATTGAATAAATATTTTTGTGAAAGAGACGGTTTAAAGTCTAAATCCGGTAATAAAAGTTCTCCGTTATTAATTTGTTCAAGCGTCTTATTAAAATAATCATATAACTCTTGTGCATTTGGTCGCTGTAAAGGATTGGCATTCCAACATCTTTTCATCATGCATTCATAGTCAACGGGGATTTCGGAGATAACTTGTGGACGAAGTCCTTTACAAATATTCCTTAAAAGACTAATATCATGTTCACATCCATCAAATGGGACGCATCTCGTAACAAGTTGCCACATAATTATTCCTATGCTGTATATGTCTGATGCTGTTGTATATTTATTAAAATAAAAAACTTCAGGAGCAATATAAGGAATGATTCCAAATGTTTGTTTAGCAGGATCTTTATCGGCAGGTCCACAAAAGCCAAGGTCACTAATAAACCATCTATCTTGGTCAGAGAGAATATTTCCAGGATGAAGATCTCGATGTACCATGTTAGAACTGTGAATAAGAGTAATTTCTTTAAGTATTTGTTGAAGCAACAAGTATATTTCCTTCCAGCAAAATTTATTATGTTTATTAAATATGAAAGAATCAAGATTTCCACTTTTCATGTATTTTAAGATTAACATATATTCTGAATTTTCGGAAGATTTAGTCAATCCATAACATTTTACACCAAGTGATCCAAGGCTTGAAAATATTATATGAGACATCGCCTGTTAAATAAATTAAATTAAATTTAATATTTAACCAGACTATGGGAAAATAGTGTAAATAAGCAAACCTCCTTAAAATATCCTATATTTGGATTATTGGAATTATTCAATGATTTTAAGACGATTTCTTTAGATCCAGATCTTATAAAATTTTTATTATTATTATCCCATTCAATAACCCAACCGTCAGTCCAAATGGCAGTGTATATAGATCCAAATCCACCTTTTGTTTTATATTCGACATTCTTAAATTTCTCAAAAGGTACCCATTCAATGATTGTGTTCGGCCTTGGATTTCTTGCTTGACAAACTTGAATAAGTTGGTCGATAAATACATTACTAGATGTCCAATTATTAAAATTTGATTCAAGATGTAGTCTTATACATTCTGTTTTATGATTTTCAGCAATAATTTCTAAAGCAATTTCATCCTTTGGATCAATTTCTAAGACTCTATTAAAATCTGCAAGTGAATTTTCAAATAAGTTCAATTTTTGATAAGTAGCGCCTCTATTTCTAAGCGAATCCGTATCGCTTGGATTAATTTCTAATGCCCGATTCAGGTCTGCAAGTGAATCCTCATATTGGCCTAAAATTCCGAAAATAATGCCGCGGGAATTAAGTGCGAAAGTATCGTTTGGATCAATTTCCAATGCTTTATTTAAATCGATGAGTGAATCATTATATTGTTCTAAAACTCTGTAAATTTCCCCACGACTTCTAAGCGCAAAAGTATCGTTTGGATCAATTTCCAACACTTTATTTAAATCCTCAAGTGATTCTTTATATCGACCCAACAATTTATAAGTTACCCCACGATTAACAAGTGCATGCTCATCGGTTTGATTAATTTCCAATACTTTATTTAAATCTATAAGTGACTTTTCATATTGGCCCAGTAATCTAAAAGTAATACCACGGTTGACAAGCGCATGTTCATTATTTTCATCGATTTCTAATGCTTTAGTTAGATCTGCAAGTGATTCATCATAGCGACCTAATAATTCGTAAACCTCACCACGGCAAATAAACGCATCTATGTCATCTGAATCAATTTCTAATGATTTACTTAAATCTGCAAGCGATTTTTCATATAAACCTAGCATTTTATAAGACATTCCACGGTTTATAAGGGCATATGAATAATTTGTATTAATTTCTAATGCTCTATTAAAGTCCACTATTGATTCTTCATATCGATTTAGTTCTCTATAAGTAATACCACGATTATTAAAAGTTTCTGCATTATTTGGATCAATTTCAAGTGATCCATTTAAATCAGTGAGAGATTCTTCGTAATGACCTAATAGGCCATAAGTAACACCACGAGCTCTAAGTGCATCAGAATCATTTGGATCAATTTCTAATGCTTTATTTAGATCTATAAGCGATTCTTCAAATTGATCTAACATTTGATAAGAAATTCCACGACTGATAAGTGCATCTTTATTAATCGGATCGAATTTTAATGCTATATTTAGATCAGCAATTGATTTAGTATATTCATCCAGCTTATTATAAATAATTCCACGATTTCTAAATGCATCTATATTATGTGGATCTATTTCTAATGACCTATTTAAATCTGTGAGTGAGTCTTCGTATCGGCCTAGTGATCTGTAAACAATTCCACGACTTATAAGTGAGAAAACATCATCCGGATTAGTTTTCAATGAAAGATTCAAATCTGTAAGCGATTCTTCATATTGACTTAGTAGTGTTTCGTGGTTAATAAGGGTGGATACATTATTTATATCGGTTGTTTGAAACATTTATTATACAGTGCACAACGAATAGGGTATTACTATAATAAAGATTATCCAAAAAAATAAATGTAATTTTTACGTTGATATAAAAACAGTCAATACATTCGCCACAGTAGTATAAATTATTAATGCTTACATCTAGCAAAATTATTTCATCAAAAGACAATGACCTGATTATGTAAGTACAATCATTCCTGGTTAATGTTGCTAAATTCAAAAAATAATTTCAAAGAATTTTTGTTAATTATTTATATTTTGACGAATTTCGAGGAGCAAATGAATTTCGACGGTCATTTATTAAAAATTATATTTCGAATTTAGGTTAAATACACAAGTACAATTTTAATTGTACAACGGTAATACAAATTCGGAGAGATTTAGCTCTTTATCTTCTGAGATGGATGAAATTTTTAAACTATACCGATTTGAAACAATGCCTTCAGCTATTCCAATAGCAATGTTGTTATTGCACATAGACATAGATTCATGATTATTTTATTATTATTTAGTAATTACTGAATAAGGACAGGACTAGATGGCGCACCGTGCACTTTGCGCACTTATTTTTAATTGGTCAAAAACCACGTGACCAGATATAAAATCTCATTATACTGTATGCTTGATATTTATATATAAATAACTATATAGCAAAAAACTAACCCTAACTTTTAGCAAACCACTCAAATGTATAAACGTACATATGGATTTCATTTTATAAATAATATATTAGTAAAATGTCACAATCTACTAATGTTACCTTACGATGGGGTGTTAATCGGCTTATTCATTTCTTATTATTTTTTTATCATGCTAGGCCAATTAACATTTCTGTCTTGCAATTTGTTAGTACACTAGTCTTGTACATATAAAATTTTCTAAATTTATATTAGCTATTATCATTACAAGATTTCAAAAAAAAACAATAATAAAGTCTATAAATCTTACTAATATTCCTAGCAATAAAAGTTTAATCAGGCTATATAGTTTCTCAAGTTCTTTAAATTTTTTTATTGCTGTTAGAGAATATTTTATTTGTAAGGGGTTGAGTCCCATAGCTTAGTTGTTAAGCTCTCATCCCCCCACAGACAAGGTCAATGGTTCGAGTCTGGCTGGAGGTAAAATACTCTATAACCAAAAATGGAGCCTATAATCGGATGCGAAGTCCTGTGGAAGTCCAAGTGAAGGTACATATTTGATCTAAGAAATTCCCGGAAGGAAACCGGTATGGCAGAGCGCGGGCACTACTATAGTGAGAAATGTGGAGAATGTCGTCAACGTTTGTGGAAAGGATTGGTCTTACCTAATATGGAATCACCTCTGGCGTCATAAATCCAAATAGGTGTAGTCGTGGGATCTACTTCCATTCGGTAGAGTTTGCGCCGAGGGTACGATAAAAAACAATTAATTTGTATTTTATTTTGACAATTTATCATGACGATAATGATGTAAATTATTTAACAATTGTTACGTCGATTAACAATTACACACATTTATTATAGTATCGAATTTAAAATCAACTTGATATTTAAATTTATCGATTATAAATTTAGAATCAACTTAGATTGCTGTATCAACTTCCGACCTAAACTGATTCTAAATCCACAATAATTCCGTTTCAACGTACGGCATATCTAATCCGAAAATTATTGAAAAAAAATTTTTGTTTAATTTTCATTTTGTTCATATTTGGTAATTTAGTAGCAATTTTATATTTAGTAACAATTTTATGCTCGTTATTATATTCTTTTTGTAGAAGATTAATAGCCTTATCATATTTTCAACTATCAAGTTTTTTTATTAATTTACAATGAGGATCAATGTAATGTTATATTTAGTGAACTATTAGATGGTTAATAATTTAATGCTTTATTTTTTTTTTTTTTTTTTTTTTAAAGAGAGGTCTATCCTCTATCTCTTTATTAATTAGTCAAATTACATATAT